GCAATCGAACCGCAAATAAAATTCGAGCCATTTGCAAGATTTTGCTTTACAACTGCAAAGTTGGACTTGATAAATCCTTGGACTTCTGAAAATAAAAAAAATAATAATGCGTTCAACTTTGTTTTCTATTCTTAAAAAACTCTCGCGAAGATAGTAAGTAATTCTATTAGTTTTCTTTTTTTTCGAATTTTGTTGAAAAAAATTTGGAAAATTGGCTCTTTCTATAGAATTTTTTTCACAGAGATGTTTTTTCCATCTTTTGCCATAAATAGAAAAAAAATTAGAAGAGAATGAAAAAAAAACGTGTTGAAAATTTATGCCGAGAAATTTCTATAGAAATTATTTTAATACACGGAGAGAAAAATACTGGAAAAAATACGCAAAAAGTTCCGTAAAAATTTATGTGTGAAAGGTAAACGTGCGGCGAGATGTAAAGTCGGAAAAAGTGCCGATCATTCAGAACATTTTACCAGTGGGTCGGTAAAAAGTTACCTTGGGAGATAGAAAAATAACGATACTCAGTTCCGCAAATTTTGCCGGGACTGGAAAGTACGATTCTAACCTCGCGTCGCTCGGTTAGATCGCCGTTTCCAGTCCCTACGAGAATAAAATATTGTGTGCCTCACGGAAATAAAGTATTTTCTGACTTCTGATATGATTATACTCACATTTCGTCAGAAAATACTTTACTCCCTAGAGGCACAATATACTAATTATCCGTCCGACAATAGTAATTTGCCGGGTGGCGTGATCCGAACATAGACAATGATTCGCGATCGGGTATGACCAACAGTCGTATCAACGCTGTCTAGAAATTTTTCAATTCGGTCACATAAAAATTACGGTACGTCACTTAAAATTCAAGTGAAACTAGATAATTTTTACTTCACTCGGAATAATTTCAACCGGAACTGTGGTAAATTTTACAAGTTCGTAAGAAATTACGTGACTGTCACGTAAATTTTCCAGAGCAAATAATAAAATTGACTGTTCGTCTCTCATTTTTTCCCAAATTCTCCAGTAAAAATCAAGGAAATGACACTCCAGCCCACGATTACGTGATTAGTCACGTAATTTTTCCTGGGTTTTTTCCTCCGTGTAGAAGGAATTGTACAGAAAAAAGAGAATTAAATAAGATTTTCCTATAAAAGATTTTTACCGAAATTTTAGTAAAGTTTTGGCATTCGTGAAAATCTGATATGAATAATAATGTAATGGTTAAAATACTTACTGATAATTCCAGTGTGCTGTGGAATTTCATCGAATTTTTTCACCAATGGGATTTCTGCTTCCATGTCACCGCATCTTCCATCACTTCCTTTTTCTTTTAAAATTGTTATTGTTGTGACGGAATTGCCAAGTAATTGAATCGGCACTGTTCCTTTATTGAAATTTGTTTCAATAGGTTTAGCAGTCAGTGAATCAATATGAATAATCTGAAAAATAGAGGAAAAATATTGCATTATTAAATTTTTTTTCAAGTTAACAAAACATTTGTCGCGTTGCAAAACAAAGTGTTTTGTAATCAGTTTTAGTGAAAACATTTTATGACAAAAACATGCAAAAAGTTAAGCTTTTAATAGTGAATTTTCTATTAAGGTAGCTCTACCCTCAGGTCGGTAATTTACCGACCGGATATAGTACTTTTGAATATTTTCAATTGCCAAATTTTCCAACTGATTGCATGAGTAAAATTCCAACAAATTCATGTATAGTCAATATTATCTAAATTAAATTTCGGAAAATATAAATATTTTTTTGTTTAAACATTTAAACATTTTCTTGTTATAAACATATAATAGAACTTATTCTCCAAACGGTGGATTATCTTTTACGAAGTGTCAAAACATTCCGTGATTTTTATACGTCTAATAATCAAAAATTCAGATTTTAATCTTTAACGACAACGAAAAATGTTGATTTTCGCATAAGACACTGTGTTAAGTTCTGATTTTTCAAATTTTTTTTTTGAAAAACAGAAACGATTATTAAATTGAGGAAAAAATTATGATTCAAAATGTGATAGAACTTCCTAAAAATTTTATGTAGTTTTGGATAATCTTTCAATTTATTAAAAGGGTGGGGCTACTTTACGATTTTTCCTCTTGGTTTTCTTTACCATAAATACTTTAACTTATTTTTTACATCTTTTTTCACTCTTTTTTTCATTTTTTAAAATGTGCAAAAAACACTTGTCTCTGTTGAGCTATTTTTAAAGATAATGACTCAATCGAAAAATTCTGTA